CATTTTAAAGTCGTTTTATCCTTTTCTAGTGGTTTTTCCCGACGATGTGTGATCAGTTTGACCTCCACATATTCAGTAACTTGGATTTTATGCTTCCCATTTACTTGGCCAAGTTAATAAACATTAATGTCACAATGATAAACTACAGTATCTACCTTTTACACCGCGTCAAATACTAAATCAAATTTGTTATGAAGCAAGTTTAAACTGTAATTTCCAACACAGCAAATTGGACTCACCTAAATTTTCGACTGTACAACTCCAGTCTTTGTCAAGGAATGAACAATCCACCGCTTCCGTGACGTCACGCAGATAACACACGTGACTCCGTGAGCAGTCGATCATAGGTTGCAGAAAGTCTGTGGCGTTCCCCGTCTTCTGCAACCTATGATCCACTGCTCACGGAGTCACGTGTGTTATCTGCTTGAAGTCACGGGAGTGGTGAATTTGGAAATTGAAAATTTGAGTGAGTCCAATTTGTTGTGTTGGAAATTACAGTTTAAAATTGCTTCATAATGATTTCTGCCAACACAGATGAACTTTCAAGATAACATCTGTCCATATATATTAATATCACCAGGGTCCATAATATCGCCACCTTGAGAAATAGTGTTGCTTAAAGATATTTTTACTGCAACATACCCTAGGTATATACATTTGATGTGTGAAGGAGTGCATACCAAAAGTATGTTGCAGTAAAATATCTTTAAGCACACTATTTCTCAAGGTGGCGATATTATGGACCCTGGTGATATTATGGACACAGATGTTACATGTAAAGAAATCTGCTATACAATGTATCTTATCAGTATGTTTTACCAACTATTTAGGGAATGTAATGTACCTAGTTTGGCTAAGAAAGCTCCATAGTTATTTAGAACATCTGGGTTTTCCCTGTCCAGATCCAGTGACTCCTGATAGATGGCCAGGGCCTCCTGGTTCCGTTCTAAGTCGGAGAGTAGCGAGGCGAGGTTGACACGAGCATCTATGTAGTCTGGCTGGATGACAATGGCTCGTCTGAACAAGGTCTCCGCTTCTGATGTCTTCCCTTGTTTACTGGAGAAAAGGGATGTGATGACAGTCAGGACAGTAATGTAATAAAAGTTCATCCTAGAATTATCGTACCTAACAGATATGACCAGCTGTCTGTTGTTCAAACAGCCCATCCTTTTTTAAAGACCAAATGACACCAAAAAAGTAAGTAAAATACATACAAATATCTGACGTGTACATACAATATAGTCACTTGAAGTTTGTTCCAATCATGATGACTGAGAAATTGAGGTTGTACGGTCTTCTGGAAGTGGCCTTTTGGAGACTCTCCAGCAAGCTTCCCAATTGCCCACTTTGGGCATTTTTATTTGCATCTCTATGTTTTATTTTTACATTTCTGTGCTTTTTCCTGAGCTGACATCACTGGGTGACATCAGCTCAGGAAAAAATACAGATATACCAAAATAAAATGTAGAGATGCAAATCTCTGCCTGCCAGGACTGACTTCCATGGCTTCATAGAACGATTCAAACGTGTTTTGCCCTAATCGTGTGCGCCGCTTTCGACAATTCGAATATAGAATTCGGACACCAAACTTGGGCTCATTTTGCATTGAAAGACGTATTTTCTTGGGTGGGTGTGACATAAATAAAATACAACACGGTGTATTCCACGTCACCCTCGGTCCTCGGGCGATACGGAATACACCTTGTTGTTTTCTATATGTACCTGATGAGGTTGGCGAGGTTGAAGTGTGCCTTGGCGTGTTGAGGAGTGATGTTCATGGCGCGGCGGTAGTACAGCTCCTGTAGCTGGGAGTCGTTGGTCATCAGGGTACCCAGGTTGTTGTTGGCACTGGCATGGCGAGGATATAGTCTGACATTCAGGAAACAAAGGACAAAACTAAGACAGAGGTCAACAGAGACGGGGGGCGCCATAGACTTTCTGCAACCTATGATCCCCTGCTCACATGCGTGATGTCATGGAAGCGGTGGATTGCTCATTCCTTGACATTTAAGACAGTCGTACAGTCGAAAATTTGGGTGAGTCCAATTTGTTGTGTTGGAAATTACAGTTTAAACTTGCTTCATAAGACAGAGGTAATTGTAAAGGACATAAAACCATGGCTGACAGATGGCTGTGGAGTACAGACTAGTGGTGCAGCAACTTAACCTGCCCACCAGGGATGATGATGAAGATGAAAGGTACCAGTTTACAGCCAAATAATTAGAAACATCCCTTAGGCCATACCAATTTAATTTTATTTACTAGTTGTTTCTCAGATATTTTCAGAAAAAAGATGAAGCAACAGGGCAAAAAAAAAAAACAGGCCAAGGCACCCAATGATAGCCAGAAATGTTACAATGTGAGCCATGAAGTCAACATACCAGGCTGGTTTATAATTAAAACAATCATAATAGATTTTGAACTTTTAATGAAACAAAATTGCATTTTATTTAGTTACATTGAAAAACTTGAACAACTATGAAGAAAAGGACTTTCTTCAACCGTTGGGGCCAAAATATGTCTTTCATTGAGCATTTTGACAGGGTGAATCCGAGAAACAACAAATTAAATTGGTGTGACCTTATCTCAAATGTTTATTAATAAGCAATATTGGAACAAATTTGAGTTCCTTCCAAAAGAAGAATTGTATGCATTCCTGTCTAGGATCCTACATGTACATGAACATTCCAAAAATCATGAAAATCTGTTGTTCCTTAATGTTGACTTATCACTTAGCTGGATTAAAACTCCTCTGTAGTTCCAGAAGAAGCTGCTAGAGAAACTAAACACATCTGACATGAAAAGCTATAAGCCACCAAAAAATCAAGACCACAGCATGTCCATGACAAAAGATACAAAAACTGGTACATGTAGTTCTACAGTAACTGCAGTACCAAGGTCCACCACCAGGAGGTCCAAATTTTACCTTGACCTGTGTCTTTTCAAGACCTGGCCACATGCCAAATATCACCACAATCCACAAAGGCCTTCTGAAATTATGCTGACCACAAACACATCTATCTGGAAACACACACGCACACACACACACACACACACACACACACACACACACGCACGCACACACGCACGCACACACTCACACACACTTACACACACACTCACAGACACACATACACTCAGACACACACACACTCACAGACACACACACACAAACTCACAGACACACACACACACACACTCACACACACACACACACACACACACACACACACACTCACAGATAAAAAACAATACTCCCATTTCTCATGAAGGTAAAAAGTCCTAAGGCCTGTGACTTACTCCAATGTTCTCTGGTAGTGGAAGATGGCCTCCTCATGCCTGCCCAGATCCTTCAGGTAGTTCCCATAGTTGTAATGCACCTTGGCATTGTGGGGCAGAGTTTCCACACCAGACCTGGGGAGGGGGGCAAGGTACTGATGTTACCTTTTAAGGTTAAGTTTAAAAAGTATATCAGAGTAAGGAATATTGAACCTTGAACGGGGACATCTAGGGGACAGTTTATTTCAGAAGCTGTAACTATTACACAGGGCAAGCTAGCATCTCCAAAAAGTCTCAGACTGTATTACAGAAACCACAACTTGCATGGCAATAGTGCCACAGTATGTATTTGGAACCCTGTGACAGCATTCAGGTTCAGGATTTAATTGAGGTTGTGTGGCGCAGTCGGTAGCATCACAGTTCGGCTCACACCCCAGAGGTCGCGGGTTCGAACCCTGCCCATGTCACTGATCTTGTGCCCTTGGGAAAGGCACTTTACACAACTTTCCTCACTTCACTCAGGTGGAAATGAATACCTAGCTTTGGTTAGGGACGTCCCTTGGATAGGACGTTAAATGGAGGTCCCGTGTTTGGGGAGAGCCACACCCCACGCACGTTAAAGAACCCACCGCACTTATCAAAAAGAGTAGGGGACCTTCCCTGTGTGAGTGGTTCAAACCTTACAGTCCGGTCTTAAGCAGTACATGTGCGTACATGTACAAAACTGGCGTGTTACGCCTAAAGGCGGTTTACCGGTTATGTGAAACAAACAAACATTAATTACCTGAATAAAGACTCCCTAGTCCACCAGATGGGGTTCCTGTGGACAGTTTTCCATCCCCACAGCAGGATGAGCAGTACAGCACAGCCAGTCATCAGGCTGGAGGCAGGTTTACCTAAGGCACAGCACAGGTTGTGGATCCCATGTACCAGCAGAATGAAGTAACCCATGCTGGAAATACACACATAGTACAGCTTAGTACCTTCATCAAAAAGGCAGGATATACAATATTATGCATGTAAGACCTGAATTTGTTAAATACACAGAGTACGTCTTTTTTTTGGTAAATCAATTAAAAACATAAATTTCACATTCTTTTACCCCCAAGGCTGAAAATGCCTGTTCTACATCAAAATCAATCAAATAACTGATTAAGTTGGTTGTGTGACAGCTTCCAGGTCACTCACATTTGGTGAAGGTACGAAATCTTGGAACTCTAGTTAATCTAGGGATTGTTGTAATGTTATATAATTGCATCCTTTTGTCCAAGAGTCATCAAGTCATTTCATCATTTCACACAGATTCTGAAGACTTGGACAGAAAGCCACCTACTAATCTTGTTGGCCATTTTGTACAAAAAGAAGTTCAACATTTTTCTTTCCTAAATTAAAATGTCTTCCTTTTCAGTAGTACCAGTACCATGCACCACTGACCTTGGAATGTAGAGTATTCTCTCCTTTTCAGTAGTACCAGTACCACCACTGACCTTGGAATGTAGAGTATTCTCTCCTTTTCAGTAGTACCAGTACCACCACTGACCTTGGAATGTAGAGTATTCTCTCCTTTTCAGTAGTACCAGTAACTACCACTGACCTTGGAATGTAGAGTATTCTCTCGGCCACCACGAAGCCCACCCTGATGAAGACATTCGAGGCTGGGAGGAAAGGGAGGACCAACAACAGCAGCCCCAGAACAGCAACAAGCCCGGCTTCGTCCTGACACAAAACATAGACAAGGGCTGAGCCTAGCCTCCTTCGCAGACTTGTTGCGCGTCGGCGTTATTTTTTTCTGTAAGCAACGCAACTAATATGCCGTGGAGAGATGATTTTGCTGCCGAGGGAGTTTTTGCCGTGGAGAGAAGGTTCACACTCCAACAAGTCTGCTTCCAGTCGGCGACAAGAAAGGGCTGGGCTATTAAAAACACTTAGGAGCAATTGGCATGGATGTGTGAACTTCCCGCAATAAACGCCACCAGGGCAGGAGGTGTTCACGCCCCGTTGCTCGACGAGCCAAAACTTGCAACTTTCTCGTGGTCGCCAATCAACCCATCGGTAGAACGCCAACCATTGTTGGAGCGACGTGAAACCTTCTCTCCATGGCAAAAACTCCCTTGGCAGCAAAATCGTTCCTCCGCTGCATTTTACTCGCGTCGCTCACAGAAAAAAATAACGCCAACACCCAGCAAGTCTGCGAAGGAGGCTTAGGCTAAGCTAGTGAAGGGTTACAATATACATAATGTACAAATGTATGTCATGTAGTTAGGCAACTTCTGCTGTTCTATGGTGTATGTAACTAACTTAATTCTACTACAGCTGGCAAACACATCTGTGAATACTTAATAATATAATGTACATATTACATTCTGTATGTTTGGGACCACATTGTAGATACTATTTCCAGTAACTGTTGTAATATTTATCTACAATGTATACTGCACTCACAATGACATGGGAAAAGGAATATGGTTTTAAAACATCACAGCAGAAAAAAATTGAACAGATCTAAAATGATTTATAATACATGACAATTGACTGCACGTGTTACCTCTGCAAGAAACAGGCAGTAGGCAGTAAGGCTGACCATGGTGACAACAAACACAATGGTTGCTAGGTTACGGGTATCCAATAGGGACTCCACCAGAGGGATGCTGCCCATCTGCCAATCATAGCACAGGGTGATGGGAGCCAATAGGAGCCAAGCATTGAACACCAGGAGGTATGAGTATGTCAGGAACCTGCAGAGGAAACACATCTCATTATTACCTCCATGAAAAATGGAGGTATTGTTTTTGGCGCATCTGTATGTGTGTGTGTGTGTGTGTGTGTGTGTTTCTGCACATTTAAGTCAGCATAACTTCATAACGCCTTTATGGATTGTGATGATATTTGGTATACTGGTAGGTCTTAGGAAGCCGAAGGTCAAGGTCAAATATGGGCCTCCTGGTGGCTGACCTTGGTACTGCAGCAGAACTTTTGTATTTTGGGGCAAAACACGTGTGGTCAGGCAGCGCGCCTACCCGGTTTGATTGATGTTCTCCCTCTGGAATAGCCCACATGTACTGAGTTGACAGCCTGGCCTATTTCAGGACAAAAGCCTGTGTTATTTTGTTCTGTACTGTAGTGTAGTGTACTGTGTAAGAACATATACAAAAACTCATGTATTTCATGGAGGTTTCAGATCTCCGAATTCTTGTTAGCTATGTGAAGGAGCTTGAGGTACTGTTTTAGACAGTTTGTGTTTGTGTGTTTGCACCTATAACTCACAGTCCTTATGTAAGTTTTTGGTATCTAGTTATGGAATTCCTCAAGTAACATTTTGGCAAATTGAGGAATTTTTAAAGAAAAGACAGTTTCGAGCAGGTTAAAAAAATTGTCCTCAGAAGACGAGCAAAATCATCAATTGCACTCATGTCAGTATGGTGGAAGGAGACTTTCATATTAAAAAAAATTGTAAAATACAATTAAACAAATTGTAAACCAGTACCCGCTTAGGCCAGAGCAACTAAATTTACTGGTTGATCAGCGTACACAATTTTGAAAAAACATAATTTGAAACAAACTTTATTTTGTTACCCTCCAGTAATCATGGTAATATTAAAAATAGGAGATGACAGAACCAGTATACTTCTGATTCAGTTTTATAGCAACCTGTACACCTGTGCATCCATGCGCAGTGCTGGATGGTGTTTTTAGGCCGACTTTCTAGACTGACGGCGGTATACGATCGCACGACAATGGTTGTGGGCGACGGCTGGCTTTAGACACATGACCAGAAAGCGTGGCAGACACCCGCAGCGGAGGATGGCACGCCGCGCGCCAATTCAAAATGGCGAGAGAACCCCTTTTTTCGGCATGCTGCAGCAGATTGTTTTTATTCTGCTTTTAACTCGTTGTCCTGTGGATGAGACGCTGAGTTTGTGCCCAGCAAAGAAGGGGTATGAGGCACATGTACCGAGTGGGTCAATATTCCCGGTTTGAACCCTGCGTTCGGTACTGCTGTTGGCCTGGCTACATTGGCCGGGAAATGTGGATCGGTTCGTACCGGAGAAGTAGCGATTGGTGGCAGGGGATTGTACTAGACACGTATGACGATATAAAGTCTTTGGTTTGATGACATTTAATGATACAGGCGATGTGCTTGGACCTGAAATAATGCTTGCAGGCTTATAAGGCCAATGAGCTCCAACTTCCTTCACCGGCGACGGTTCACTTTAGACGGTGGAAAATCCTCCCCGGGCCCCCCCCTGAAGGATCGCACGATAGGGTCCGAGGTGGTAGTGACGACGATTTGAGGATTACCGTCGTGCGACTATTTTAATCGTCTTTAGACGGTGGTAAAATACCGTCGCCGGCAACATCTTGACGATAAACATTCGTACGACTATTTAACCATCGTCAGTCTAAAGTCGGCCGTAGTTTCCTCATGGTATACGTAAGACTGTTTGTGTCTGTAGTGGGTATTTATAGCTGCAATAGCACAAGGTGGTTTCCCATGGACCACTGTTTGGCATCTAAGCACATAAGCATGAAATATCTGCAAACAATTGGACCACACAATGATAAGGACATTTGTACACGTGTGAGGCCAAAGATCAAAGACTCACGTCTAGATAACACTAATCAAAGTGTAACTAGAGACAAAAAAATTCATCCTTATGTTACCCTTACAGTGGAATGTTAAAAGTGTGCCTGAGTGTGGAAAATTCTTTTTTATACTGAGGCTGAAGCCCCCGAATTGTTCTGATATTAGGAATGTATGAAATTCTGGACATTTTAATGGAGCACCCAGGTTACTTCGCATTTCCATGAGTGCACACCCACAATTCTAGCAACCAGCTCTTCCAGGGGATAATTCAAGCAAAATAGCTGTAGGGGATAAAAGTAGTGATGCATACCAGTTCACTGGACTTGTATCCGGACTTGTAAGAATGTTTAGGTTCAAATAAAAAAAAAACCTAAAAGTCTAGAACCTAGTCCGGACTTATTACCATAAAAGACCATTTCACATACCCCTTTTCTTTCCAAACCACCTAAAACCTTCCGTAGACTGCAAAATCTTTACTGCAAAATGAAAACATTGCCATCGGGCATTGTCAAGTACCGGCCTGCATGTTATGTGGCCAAAGTTTCACCCAGACAACATTGCAAGGTTGCCAACATGCAATTTTGTATATGCCATGGGTTTAGGTCTGGACTTACAAGTCCGGAACTGAACCTAAACCTCTGGACTTGAATCCGGACCTGAACCTAAAATTGGGTTAAGGCATGCATCACTAGATAGAAGGATATCCTTTCAGCTATGCTAAAACCAACTGAGTTTTGTTCATTTTGGGTAAAATCAACAGCAAAAACATTATTTTCACTCCAAAGGTAATGCAGAAAAATTGGGAATTTTTGTGTAGGATAATCCCATAGCAAAAATTGGCAGAAGTGACTGATGTTGGCAGAAGGACACAAACCTTAAGTGTACTCCAGTCAACTATACAGAGAATCCTAGTGCTAACTTAACTACAATTTTTGTAATCATGTTCTACGGCACGAGGTGTTGCAAATCCGCTCAAATGACATCACAGCACTATAACATTTGATGTGTAGAATAACAGAAGTACATTACATACATTGTACAGCTCTTAGCCCAAATAATTTTTCACAAAAAAAAACACCATTTCTTACACTTTTCAGGTATGTTAGTACCTAAAACACTGGTCACCTCAATTTTGGAATGTCACTTTCCGAATTTTAAGACAGCTATGTTGAAACCCCTGATTTTCAACTTTGTTATTCCTGGATGTACAGTGAACTTTTGCATGCCATTGGAAAGATCATGCTATCTTCAGTACCAGGTTGCTTTTTTTATGGTCAGAATGTACAAATTTATCAAGATATTTGACTTTAAAAATTGCAAGCCTGGCGGTCTAGAACACACACCGTCATGCCCAGCAGCTTAGCCTGGCAGTCCTAAACTTTAGCCCGCGGCCTGAGTTAGCCAGCCCGCATCCAGACCGCATCCAATTAGCCTCATGAACACCCCATGAAAACCACTGAATTAATGAGAATTCACATTTTCTACACCTGTGTAATTAACAAGTTTGTGATAAATTCATGAGAGGTCTGGGCTCAATGGTTAGCCCGCGGGCCTGAACAGGCCTGTCGGTCTGTGGACAGGCTGGGCTGATGATTAGGCCTTATGATAGAGAACACCAAACAGAAAGTGGGAAACAAAAATATGCTTCCAAATTGATGCTTCCAGATTGATGATGGTTTACACTTCACTTCATATCACTTCATATTAATAAACACCCTTCACATTTTCAGCTAATATTTTCAATAAGTGATTACATATTATTGACAAGTATGATGTACAGGTATGAATGATGATAACTTTCATGAATATTCATTTTGAACATTTTCTGCAAAAGCTTCAGAAATTTCTACTGGAAGAATTTTTCCTGTACATGGGAAGAATTGTTCTGCTATTAAGACTGCAAAAAGTCTCTTTCTAGTAGAAAGCTTTTTGAACATGTTTGAGGAGGTGGATTTTGCTCCTGCTGTGCTACCTGGGCTGATACCTGGGCGGGGTGTAACATTTGTGTAACGGTTATGACTAAAAAAGATCAGATAGCATGATAAAAGACCCTTGTCTCAGCAAGAACACTTCATATTAGACCTGATTGGTTGTGGTGTTGGAAGCCAACTTTTGAGGACACTTCATGGTCACTTACAGTTTCTGTTTGGCAGGTATAGTCCAATCTGTCCTACTATGGATGGGTAACTCTCCTGGCCAAATCCCTTTGAAACATCATGGGGGTAGGAAATTTATCTTTTTTTAAAGTAATGAAGACTTGGCTAAGTACAGGTCACAACAAAACAAGATGAATGGACATGGTTAACAGATAAACAATAACTCCATGGAAACATTTAAATCAAAAGGAAAACATTTGGAGTTTTAGTGCCATAATCCTGCCATGTATAAGCCTCAGCCGATGTACACTGAAAACATAAAAAGCAAGGAATCGATCCTCAATTTGCAACATGAACTTGCTTTCAGTGCAAGGAGTTGTACAATGCTTTAGGAAATTCATGTTACATTTTCTTTTGTAATTATTCTGTTCCTGCACCTTTGTCATGCGGGTCATACCTCAGGTCACCTATTGTTCCAGGCATGCAAATGACCACTGTCCAATTATCAAATTAGAGAGTCTGGTCGGGCTACCCTGACATGGGTGCACTGGCACTGGCTCAATAGCCCGAAAAAATATCCTATCAGAAAATCTCATGACATTGTAATGACAGTGTCAGATGGCCTGGGTTCACTCGCTGAGAACCATGTCTCGGCCAAATCTTTCTATCCCACAACTAGTTTGTAGTGTCATGATTAGATTAGATTTAGATTATGAACAAAAAATTAATGATGAGAATCTTTACAGGATTTGTAATAAGTCTAAATTACAATTTAATTGGAAGTGCTTGCCCAAGGCCTAGAGTCAATTCTATATTGCTATATTCCACATTACAAATTGTAACCATTTCGAAAAAAAAACACAATGTTTCTAGATAATTTCAAAGTATGATTTAAAAAAAGGAGAAAATTTTCTAATTGTTACAATATTTGTGAAACATCTCAAATATTTTATATATATAATGAAAAGAGCTGTTCATTCAGTTTGGATATTTCCCAAAAATTTAGGAACAGAACGTAAAATGCTTGTACAGCGCAGGATGTACATGTATGATAGCA